AGCTTCACTTAATGACAACAGATGACCAGTTTGGATTTTATTTCCCCCATTATTTTGTGGTTTCCTTTATATTGCCTTCATGTGTATGTATATTTTTTTTTCATTTAAATCACTGCTTGGCCAATGGGTTAAACATATTTTTAGCTAGCTCTTACATCTTAATTTAATCCATTTCCATTAATCTGTGCATCACCATGAAGTCATAGGCTATCAGAAAAATTTCAGTGTGTCTGTCTCCAGTGGAGGCCCAATGGCCTCTCTTCACTCCGCCTTCTTTCTCCCTGCACTCAGTATAGTTTTCCCTACCTAGTTCTACTCTGCCCTGTCAATAGGCAGAAGTGTTTTTATTAATTGACCAATAAAAGCAACACATGTAGAGAAGGAACACCATTCCTCCTTTTCTGTTTAAATAAAAAGGAAGGTTTTAACTTTAACATAGTAAAATTGCACATAACAAAGCAGGTGTCAAGCAAGAATGACAGTTACAACATTTGTATCTACTTTGTCTTTTATCATAACTAAGAAAAACTATAACTATATATTCTTCAACTTCAACAAAGGCTCCAGAAAGATATAATATTACCTAAGTAAACAAGAAGTACATTGTAAACAACTTCCAAAACTCTAGAATTGACAGAGACATCTCGCTACCTGGACAGTCACCCAACGTTCTTCTGTATCATTGAGGGCATCCAGTCTTCAGCCCACAGGTCCATAGTATCCAGAAGACTTTTCCATGAAGCAGGAAATTTCAAAAACAGTTTCACCTATACTGGCAGTTTGTCGGTCACTTTCTTCTGTGTCCTGCAGAATGTCTGGCAGACTCTTTCATGAAGCAGAAATTCTGAAGGACAATCTCACCTTTAGGCAAGTTCAGCAGTCATTTCTCTGTGGGTCCTGTATGTCCAATTCATACAGAATAGCATCAAGCAGTCCAGGCAAGAGAAACTTCTTGCCCATATGGCTAACAAACTTCATAAGGAGCCTCTTCAATGCTTATTTTCCTCTTGAAGCAATTTGTACTGACAGGAGCAAATGTGTCTCAAAGTAATTAAAGCATTTGCCATATTCTATAGTCTTTGAAAGATTTGAAGAATGCCTGCCTATCTGAAGTACATCTCTGTATATCTAGAAAATCTAACTAACATGACTAAAAGCTTGACTATTGTAGGTGATTATCTATTAACCTATATCTCTCAATAATACATTACATTTTTAAATTAGTTGCACAAACACAATAACTTAATGAGGAGCAGAAATACATATATACATATATATGTGTTCTCTCTATATATAACATATATATATATACACACACACACATATATAACAAAATTGTTCTTAAATTTGTATCAATAAAGCAAGAACCATACCAATGCAAATCTCTATAGCATATCTCCCTTTAAATGTGAAGAAACATTAATAAATAATATTTGGGAATTTGGGTGTAGTTCTCTCCAAACTACTTCCTGGTTTTTGTTGCACAAAATATTTTGAGGGTGTTAATGGTGACCTTTTGCGGGAGGGGGGGTGTCTTTATCCATTAAACCACATTAGTCTGGAAGAAATCCATAGGTTCTCATCTTCTGTGAAAACAAAAGAAGACCCTCCTTTCCAAAACAACATATCCTTAGTCTAAAATTTTGAAGTCAAGAATACTTTAAAACATATATGTTGGTTTAGCTTAGCAGTCCATACAATGAAATGTCTCTCTATACTTAGCTCCTTTACAGTCAAAAAATTCAAAGACAACAGAATATCGTGCAGTATACAGACTCTGTATATTTTCCATCTTTATGTAGCTTTATTTAAAATTCTACTTTTTTTGCTTTATTTTTACTTATTTGAGACTAGGTTTCTCTGTATAACTTTGACTGTTCTGGCACTCACTCTGTAGACCAGGTTGTCCTTGAATTCACAGAGATCCATCTGTCTCTGTCTCCCAAGTGTAGGGACTAAAGGTGTGTGCCACCACACCTGACTACTCTCTTTCTTTTTTATTTTAAGGATTTTATCCTTTTTCTTTTCTCTCCCAAGCCTACATATATTTTTAAACACACTGTCAATGTTTCGAGGTTTTCTTCATCTGAATCTCTCTTTACTGTATATCTCTCTTTTTCTGGCCACATGAGTCTTTAATTTGCTAAACAATATGGCTAGGGTTAAAGCTGTGGCTTTGATATTAGTTCTACCCCATTCCTTAGCTCTCCGAGAGTCTAGCTTCGTGGCAGAGGTCCTGGAGGGAGCCATGTTTATTCCCAGAACTCTATGAAATTTCAAGATCTGTGATGCCACTAACAAACATGCTGTCAGCTATTCATAAATACTGCTTAAGGGTTTCATGGTGGGGACTGTTAAAAGAGTTGCAAGGTTTTTGCAGCTAAGGATGAGTCAGGAAATACCACTTAAAGGAAACATGCTTGCCTCTAGCAAACAGTGCTCACCTGAGAAAATGCTTTTATCAAGAAGCCATGCTTAACTCTGTTCTTTTTGTGTCTAGAATTCCTTCCCAACTTTCTCAGGCTTTAAGTGGATTTAGTTGTCCACATTGGTACCATTTTGTTTGTATGAGGCCGCTTGTTTGTTCCCAGCTGCCCTTATTCAAATAATCACTCGGATATTAAATCATTTAAATCACTGCTTGGCCAATAGCTTAAACATATTTTAGCTAGCTCTTACATCTTAATTTGACCCATTTCTATTAATCTATGCATTACCACGAGGTCATGGTTGACCAGCAAAGTTTCATTGTGTCTGTTTCCAGTGGAGGCTACATGGCTTCTCTGTGTATCTATGGTAAGTGGTACCTATAAAGAAAATTATCTATTTCTTTTAGATTTTTCTGGTTTGGTGGAATACAGGTTTATAAAGGATGTCCTGTGATTCTCTCAGTGTCTTTACTAATTTTCATTTCTGATTTTGCTAATTTGTATATTCTGGACTTTAGGTAATTTGAGTGAGGGTTGGTCAATCCTATTGATTTTCTCAAAAAATTGTTTGTTTCATTGATTCTTTGTAATGCTTTATTTTGTTGATTTAAACCCCAATTTTGATTATTTCTTGCCATCTATTTATTTTGGGGTGTGACTCCCTTTTGTCTTAGAACTTTTCAAACTTTTCAGGTGTGCTGTTAAGTTACTAGTGTGATCTCTCCCTCCCTCCCTCCCTCTCTCTCTCTCTCTCTCTCTCTCTCTCTCTCTCTCTCTCTCTCTCCCGTCTCTCTCTTTTTCTCATTCTTGCTTGCTCGCTCGATCTCTTTCTCTTTTTTTCTCTAGTATGGGTACCTTGTCTCTTAGAATTGCCTTCAATAGGAAAAATAATTAAAATCAAAGCAAAAAACGGACAAAGGAGAACATGGACTCTGATTGCTTTGGCCAACTACTCCTAGACCTGTGGCCTGCCCTGGAGTATGACTGATATACTCAGTGAAATGGTATTGGAGCAAACTGATTTTCCCTTCCTAGCAGGTATCAATTGCAAATAAATGTCTCCTTGGTTACAGATGAGTCTTTGTATTCACATTCCCTGTTCCCCTCTGCCATTTGTTTGCCTTGAACATGTACAGGGCTTTTGCATGCTAATACAATTCCACAATTTTGCCTTATTAGTATTTTTGCTTGTTTGTTTGCTTTGAATTTTTGTTTGGGAATTTATTTCTATTTTTTTTTGAGAGAGAGAGAGAGGGAGAGCATCCATGAAGTTGGATGGGTAGAAAGGTGATGAGTATCTGGGAAGACAGAGATAGTCAGTATAGTGACTGTTTCTTATAGCTTCTATACATATCTAAACGTCCCTTTACTTTTCGGATGCCAATGATACAAAGAATCAATCCTGACGTAACTTGTGATTCTTTCTGATGTCTCTGCTTGTTCAGATAACTATGTGATTTTTTTCTTTGTTCTACTCTTACTGATAAATACGACATTACTCAAGGTAGTGTAGTGCCATAAGGAAATCTGATGAACTACAGGAATAACTCAAATAGAAAAGACGAGCACTGCAAAATACAAATGTTTGATTAATAATTGTACATGTATGCTGTACATATTTTTAGCAAAAAGAAAATGTTTATTAAGTCTAAATAGTTATGCTTTATAATACAGAGTAATGAGGTTTACTAGAACTGTGAACAGACAAGAAATCATCAGTTACTGTGTCTTTTTTAAGTTGATTTTATTGAGCTATATATTTTTCACTGCTTCCGTCCATTCCTCTCTCCTACTGTTCAACCCTCTCTCATGGTCCCCATGCCTGCAGTTTACTCAAGAGATTTTGCATTTTTCTATTTCCCACATAGATTAAGTCCACGTATGTCTCTCTTAGGGTCCTCTTTGTTGTCCAGGTTCTCTGTGATTATGAATTGTAGGATATCTAAAAGTCACTTATGAGTGAGTACATATTATATTTATTTTTTTGGGCTCTGAGTTACTTCACTTAATATGATGTTTCATAGATCCATCCATTTGCCTGCAAATTTCAAGATGTCATTATTTCTTTCTGCTGTGCAGTACTCCACTGAGTAAATGTACCACATTTTCCTTATCCATTCTTTGGTAGGGGACATTTAGGTTGTTTCCAGGTTCCAGTTATGACCAATAATGCTACTATAAACATAGTTGAGCACATGTCCTTGTGGTATGATTTCAGCTACTGTGTCTTAAATGAACCTTTGAGCCTTGATGGCCAGGCACCACCTAAGCCTATGGGCAGAGCACCCTGTCCACTGTCACAGGTGTGACATTAAATAGTGCTGGTTTACAGCGAAATGACTGAGTTAGATTCTGTATTAGATTTCTGATAATTATCTGATGATGTCAGATAAATGAGTTGTTATATTCAGTTGTTCACCTTAGTTTTGATCACTTAACCACTGAACTTCAAATTTCACAAATAAATTCTACAATTACAAAATAAAGTTTTTCATTTTTTCTTTTTTGATCCATAAGGAAAAACAAAAGAAATATATGTATATATACCCATACAGATTTTACACATAGTCATAAAATCTCATATATTTATTTTTCTATATAGGTTCTTCCAATAATATCATACCGACCAAATATGGATTCTTTGAAGTATCCTTAGGCTACTTCTCTCAAAGTCTCTGCTGCAGCTTGCACTGTGAAGGCTGCGATAGAAATCTGTCTCTTCACTTCTCTCCAGGCCTTAGAAGGGTCCACTTTGCTCTCAATATCAAAAAGGGCATCATAAATGCCTGGGAATGACTCTCCTGCATACTTGTTGTGGCTGCTTGGAGCATAGATGATATGCCTGTTGAAAAAAACAGATTTCTGTCCATTCGTTGCACAAACAATACAAGAGAATGAGGGCATTGTATTCAAACTGCATACTCCTTATTTTCTTACTTGACTTATTCACTTGTTACCTAAACTTAAAATGTTATAATCCTCAGGCACATTAATTTTTACTTTTAATGGACAACTCAAAGTGCTTCAGAGCTAAACAAATAACAGTAAGGATAGCCACTGTGAACTGTTTTAAGGTTTTAAAATGGTGACTTACACCTTTTATAATCACTGAAAATAAACTGTATAATGTTGATAACAGTGTTCTCAGAGGAGGAAAATCATCTGAGACGAGAAGTGATAAATGAAGTAGTCTCCAAGCACAGTGCCAGTAAGTGATGATCTTTATGTTCAGACACATCATGACATCATGCTTGTAAACAGCCTACTGTGCACTAGCTTCAACTTTTTATTCTTTTGGATAGATGGATTCATACTTTATAAGGGTTAACATAATATTCTGTTTTGAATCAAAATATAAATATCTCATATGCAGGATATCTGATAAGTGGTCCCAATGAAAGGATCCTTCAAACTCCAAAGTAGTCAGGATTCACAGGTTGAGAACTACTGGCCTATCAGAAAAATGTCAGAGTCTTCTCATTCTTCATTAGAATAAACGCAAATACCCTTGGCCCAGGTTCTAGTAGAGTCTTCTTGCTCCCCTAAAACTGGTGAGCTGAACAGCAAGTCTCCATATTTCCCCCAGCATGCCTAGCTCTCATCAAATAGACTCAAAAGTGTGCTTACTTTAAGGTTTGATTCCCAAACTCTCCCACATTCAACCTTCAAACTAATTTCAAAGGGCCATGAGCCTCAGTGAGATTATCACAACAGCAGCTTTCCTCTATTACTCACATTTTCCTTGTTGTGACAAAATGCCTCCCAAAATCAGCATAAGGAAAGAATGGAATATTTTGCCTCACAATTTAAAACTACAGTGTGTTATAATTTAATAAACAAAGAGAGAGAGAGGGAAGGAAGTCATCATGTAACAGAGCTCACTTGGAGAGTTTTTTATTAGGGGAAAAGAATGGGAAAGGAGGGAGGGGAAAGGGGAGACTCACTTCTGCAGACAGAGGCAGCAGAAGAGAGGGAAAAAGTGACAAAGAGAGATAGGGAAGCAGAGAGAGGGAGAGAGAGACAGAGACAGAGACAGAGAGACAAAGTAGATGGAGACAGAGTAGCTGAGAGACAGAGAGAATCAGCAAGGCAGAGAGACAGAGAGGGGCAGAGAGAGAGAGGAGGCAGGTCGCCCACCTTTTAAAAGTGAGCATAGTTGTAGTGATGTAGCTGATGTTGTCAGGACCCTGAGCACGTCAGAGTACTACCTGAGTACTAGCAAGTGCATTTTACCAGGTGACGGGGGTAGACAAGCATAATGCCCAAATGCTAACAAAGTCTGTTATGGTACGAGACTCATGACAACAGAAGTGTGGGGCAGATGAGTATATTGCATTCACAGTGAGGAAACAGAGAGATGAATGCTGATGATCCGATTACAGTCCCCTTTATTCCATCCAGACCCTGTGTCATGATGACACCTAGGCTCAGTATGTGTGCTCTTGAATGGGTTAAACATCTCTGTTAACAACCTCACACCCAGAGGTTTGTCTCTCAGGTGATTCCAAATCTCATCAACTCAACTCTAACTACCACAGTTTCCAACAATTCAGAATGATTCTGAGTAAAAAGAATAATTCTCGAGGTATCATAGTACTTAATTTCAAGTCACACTACAGAGCCCACAAAACAATCCATGGATAAATGGGACATAAGAGATGAACCAGAAATAAAGCCTCACATTAAAAAATATGACAAAAATATTCATTGAGAAAAAGCAAATGGTTAAGTAAACTAGATAAAAAGAATAAAACTATATCACTGTCTCTCACCCTACACAACAAGCATTTTATGAGTCAACAACCATAATGTAAGACCTGAAACCTTGATAATGATAAATATAGGGAAAACATTTCAAGGTATAGGTATAGACAAGGATATTTGAAAAGGACTCCAATTGCTAATAAATAATGCCAAGAACTGCCAAATATTTCTTAAGGAAAATTTAAATGTTCTGTGCAGCAGAGAAAATCCAAATGAAGGAAATATTGATGAAATTGGAGAATATCTTTCTTAGTTAAACATCCGACAGAGGATTTTAACTAGAATATATAAAGAATACACTCATTTAACACCCAAACCCAAACAACACAGACAACAAATGAGCAAATGAAATAAACACACTGGTACACAAGATAAGACATAAATATCCAATAAATATATAAAAATGAAATTTTTATAAATTTATATAAACATATAAATGATATTTATCAGGGAAATTTCAATTAAAACACCTTGGTATTCCATCTCTCCCCAGTAACCAACAAACACAAACAAATGCTGATGAGAAAGTATGGGGAAGGGAACATTTATACAGTAATGGTTGCAGTGTACTTAGAACAATTACAATAGGGATAAATATGAAGGTGCCCCAATAAACTACAAATAGAGTTACCATATGACTCATCTATTCCACTTCTGGGTGTAAGCCTGAAGGACTCTCTACCTATGGCTGAGATAAATGCATTCCAGTGCTTACTGTAGCACTATTTATATTACAGCTCATAGTACCAGCCTACTTAGCTGTCAGTGAATTAATATAAAAGTGGTACGTATATTCATGAATATATATATATATGTATAATTCATGAATATATATATATGCATAAAGTGTCATTCTCATAGGTCTGCTTGTATATGTTACTTGGCCCTTTTCCTTTGCAGCTCTTAGTATTCTTTATTTATTCTGTATGTTTAGTGCTTTGATTATTATGTGCCATGGGGACTTATTTTTTTGGTTCAGTCTAGTTGGTGGTCTGTAAGATTCTTGTGTCTTCATAGGTATGCCATTTTTTAGTTTGGAAAAGTTTTCTTCCTTGATTTTTGTTGAATATATTTTATTTGCCTTTGAGCGGTAATTCTTCTTCTTCTATCCCTATTCTTAGCTTGGCCTTTTCAAGGTGTCCCTGATTTCCTGAATGTTTTCTGTTAATAATTTGTTGCATTTAACATTTTTCTTGACTGATGAATCTATTTCCTCTATTGCATCTCCAATTCCTGAGAATCTCTCTTTCATACCTTTATTCTGTTGGTTATACTTGTATGTGTAGCTATTGTTCATTTACCCATATATACATATACATATGTATATTACCACTATACAGGGTTATGACTCCATATAGTGTGTGTATGTATGAAAACAATGGCATTTTGTCCAGCAACCAAGAAGAATGTAATTATGCTGTTTGCTAGAAAATGGATGCAACTAGAGATCATCACATTAATCAAAATCAAGCACACACAAAAGGATGAGCTACACTCGCTTTAATTGTGGGGCCTAGTATTCCTTAAAGACAAGTAAAGTGCAGAAAGGACACTGGAGGAATAAAGAAAGCCAGTGAGAGGGGACAAGGGGAAAGGAATCATAGAGCAGTGAATGAGATTGGGATGAAGGACAAGGTGTTCATACTTGAAACAAACAGATTTTACAGAACCTAAATCTGTGTACAGTGAAATTAACTCACTAAAAATATTTTGATCATTAAAAATAATAAGCTATGATTTTTTTGACACAAAGTGATTCTATAATATAAAATATTTTTTCCTTACCTATAGAAAGGTCTGCCTGGTAACCCTAAAGGATCAATGAATGCACGTTCCAGATACATCAGCTGGTCATTTATAATTCTCAGTGACATGGGGCTAAAACATAAATTAATAAAGTTATACGTTCAGGAAGCTATAAATACTACCTGACAAACTATAAGTCTTTAATAAAATCAAGCTCACTGATATATTTTAAATCACTGTAATATGCAAATTAAAAATATCAGGAACATTACACAGACTGAGCATGTTGTACTTATTTATTTAGGAATATTGTATTAACAATAACAAAATATGAACTCTGAAAAAAAGAGGGTTGTAAAGAGATTAGAGAGAGAAATGAGAGGGTAGAAATGATTTAATTATCTTACAGAATTAAAAAACAAAAGTAATAAATAAAAAAGAATATCAGCATGCATAGTCCTCATGTTTCAGAAATCCCATAAAATACTATCCAAATAAAACATGAGTTATGAAACATTAACACGCTGGTGGTAACACACGACAATAACTTTTATGCACAGGAAGATGAGAATTAACCATGTGTATATAATTATTGTCATGCTTTTTTTTTCACCTTAGAGAACCTAACATTATAGTCAAGGAATTAACAAAAACATTTAAATGTGAAAATCTACTAGTATAATTAACTTTATGAAAATTAAAAATATTAAATAAGTGACAATATATAATGTCCTTATTGATAAAAATAAATTTGTCAAATATATAATCCTTAATTTGTATTTTTATCAGTATTCAAACATCGTGTAGAAAACACACTATTATGGAGTTCATATTCTCAACGGAGATTATCGGATTGATTTAGAAAGTTATCATTGTTAATAAAAGTGAATTAATGCAATTAAAAATCTACCATCAACCTCCCAAATAGCTCAATCATTAATTATGGAATACAGTATAACTATGTTATGATATAATTAGTGAATGTTATAGTTTTAATAAATAGTTTTATCCATTAATTTATCAAGATTTTCATTTTATATTAGTTTTAATAATAATTATAGTTCCTCACTCTTATAAATGCTTTTATAGCAAGTTTAACTTCAGAGAAATTCTGAACATTATACAAGGTTATAACTCCATTTCATAAATTAAGGATTTGTTTGACGAAGTTTATAATTTTACAATTAAACAGTAAACATTGCAGCTTTTATCAAATTTGGCTTATGGTATTGGCTTTACACAGAATTATTCCTATTTGTTCAGCACTTCTGAAAACAATGATTTATCAGTATTTATTATTCCTGAAACTATTTTTTTATTGGAGTTGGAAAGGATCATATGAGTATGCATATAATGACTTTGAACATAAGTAGAGAGAAGATTGCTCCAAGAACAAAAGAATTTAGTTGGATTATGATGCACAGGAGATGAGATAAAGAACAAGAGAAACTAAAACATGTTGGAGTCAATACTAAAGTAGGAAAGTGGTATGTAATGAACTGGCAGGAAAGAGGCACTGTGGTCCAGTTCCAACTCATGTAAGAACTAAAATCTCTGAATGCTACAGAACCCTCAACAAGATACATTACAATGAAGACAGAAAACAGGAAAGCTATTTCTGCAACAAAAATGTAAAATAGTGTTATTTTCATTGTATACATATGCACATATATTAGACATAATTATCTCATATGGATATAATTTAATAAATGACATACTTGCTTTTATCCAATACTTGAAGTTTTTTGTTGAACTCAGATGCAGTCTCTGTAAAATTATTTACTGCAGAAAACAGTGAATCTGAAATGGAAATTCAAATTAGCAAAAGCTTTAAGAACACGATTTTTAAAGCACGTAAGTTGGCAATGCCTACAGTTTTAGCACTCAGAAAACTAACGCAGGTGCATCACCTCAATTTGAGAGTCTAATATCAGCCAGTACAAGATAGGCAAGTCCCATTTCAATAAAAGAAAAATGCCTGGTTTCTGTACAGTTCAAAATGTGCAAATAACATAGGAAGCCATTTTGTCTTTTATGAGGTCTTTTTATATTTTAACATATCTATGCTTTAAAAAGGTATTTTAAGAAAAAAGACTTATCAAGTGTAATAGAAACAATGATGAGAAATCATTAAAAGCACAAGATTGAATGTGAAAGATAAATTTCAACCTACCAAATGATACCGAATATTCCTTCATCTCTTGTGGATGGTTCATTGAAATGTTGTAGATATTTTCAGTATATTTTTTCAGAGCAACTGCATAATCTTGACAGTCAAAAGGAAGCACTAGAGAATTGGCCAGTTCAAACACCATCCCTCCTCGAACCTGGGCCACAGTGAGGTGATATTTAAAGGTTGGATCATAAAATTTTTCCACTAACTCATATGTTTCATAGACACTGTGGTAGAGTGGATAGCTTCTGACTTTGTTTGTTTTCTATGAAAAAGAAACAAAATACATCTCTTGTAAGACAGTTCATAACAATGGAAAGTTATTTATGATTTTTTTGTATCAAGTCAATTTTTCAGTGATCTGATGTGTATTTAATGATCTGAACTACAATGTAACAGGCAAAAATCCAAATATTGTCAGGTCTTGCTGATTTGGATGAATTTTGAGTAAAACTAAAGAAAGTTGAGTCCAAGATAAGTCTCACTAATGGAAATGATGAAGTGGATAATAAGTAGTCAAATCAATAAAACAGAATACATTTAATGGTAATCTTGGAAGTTCTAGACTGCAGAAAGCAATATGAGTGTGCCAACTGGAATGTGAATATATACCCATGAAAAACAGTGACAGACAACCAATAGGACATTGCTGCTTGGCTTTCCAATTCGTCCTCTAGTGCCAGAGGTATTTATTGAAGCAAAACTTATTAATTTAGTTAAATATACCCATACTTAGTACTTAAGAACTCATTAATTTAGACTTACCCAATTTTTAGTGTACCGTGCTCTGCCTGAAGCAATTCCAAGTCTTTGGAAAAACACTTCAAAATCATTGCCAGATCCCAGCTTGCTAATCCTTTCAGATTTAAAATTAGCACGATTAGTTCAAAGTACTAAGTTCATTCTATAAAGATCAAAGGTCAGTTACTAAATTATAGTTATACTATTACAAATGTGATAGCCTTAGATATACAGTTAAAGTAAGATATTTATTCTGCTTTTTTTGTAACACAATTCTATGGAGTGGTACTTTTATAAGTCACTGCTTTATTTAAGGATTTTGAAGGTTGGAAAATACTTTCCTTCAAACTATCTGTTTTATCTGTGTCTGTCATATATGCTAATGAAAGGAATCAGACATATTCAAATAATTAGAATATAAATTGTGCCTGAAAATTTTAATTTATTTATATTGTAGAGATTTTAATTTACAAACTATTGAGATAATTATTTCCCTTCTCTTGCATGTAAAGATTCAATCATGCAGTCATAGTTTTAATTTATCAGAGTAAACAAAATATATGTTACCTGCATGATGCTCAGGAAAATGATTATCTATAGACTGAGATGCGATAGATATTTGTCAGGAATTGTGTTCCATTTTCTCCATTGTGACCTTTTACATGAACCACATATGAGCATCATGTATCCTAATAAGCACCATTATTCTCCCTTTCCTCTAAAAATATTAAAATTAATTTTCACAGTATACTTTGTAGGGACCATGTCATTAAAAGCTTGGCAGCTGCCTCTTGCATATAGATTGTCCAAAAATCAGTATTTAAAACTCACAGATTTAATTTCAAGCCACAGGGTAATATTTTATTGTAAATCTAAGTACTACATTCATTTGCCAGATGTCAGAGAATTTTGAAAGTTCTTTTTTACAAACAATTTTTAAAAAGTACCCTTTTATTTCCAACACAAGCCACGAAACAACCAAATTGGGAAGAAGAGCTGGGGTGTTTATGTACCTGGGTACTTCATTGGATTCTGGTGAAGGATTCTTTTCTCTCCAGCTGTCGTAAAGAGATTTGCCTTCAAAGCCTGCATCCGGGCTTTGGAGCTACACAAGTTAGAAAGAAGAGAATACTCACAAATCTAATGCATAAACTGAAATGTCCCTCAATGAGAAAGTAAAGAATTAGGCTACACTACAGCTAAACAAGAGATGAGAGTTCTACATTAGAAGTTGCTGTGAATTCCGGGACTTCTGTGAGAATGCCTTCCTGGTATGCTGGAGGTTTTGGGTTTGATGCCCAGCATAGGGAGTTGACAGTTACATTAAGAAATTTCTGAAGGGAAAATGTCTCTGCATGTGTAGGTGAAAGTGTAATGATGTGGGGTTCATATAAAAGAATTCAACAAATTATTAGCCAGTCATTTTCTGTGAAGGAACAATCGTTGACCTATTTGCCAAGATGGAAGGAAACTGCTCTCAAAATCATATACTGCCTTAGAAAAAGACAAGATCTTCTGAGTAAATTGTGAGCATGGCGATCATGAGAGAGGGTAGACGGTGAGGAAGGGAGGAGAGCAGAGAAAAATATAACAATAAAAACAATAAAAAAATAAAAATGAAAAAAGTCACATACTTCTTCGACTCTTATCAATAAACAAGTAGAGTAACCTTACTGATGGAAATAGTCCTGTTAATATTATGTCTTGCCAGGAGGATTGTTGAAGTCTTACATGATATATAATGAAGTCATTAAGTAACATAACAAAACACAATGTAATTAATGGTATTCTTCTTAATTGATTATTTGTTAAAATTGCGCTAAATACTGAGTTTGAAACTCATTATCTGTTTCCATAGGTGTAAAACTTAAACAAGTTAAACATGACCTATTATTAAATTTTAGAATAAGAATATATTAAGTTGTACCAGAAATATTTAATAAGCTAACCATAACTCAGGTTCCACACTTATTTAGGTTCAGTGTAAGAATTTATACAATATTTTATTTTATTTCATGCTTAATAACTGTCAAGTATATTGGTTCTCAACAAGGTCAGTTCAAAAACATTATTAAACACCTAAACTATTTTAAGTTTTTATACAAAAATGTAGAGGGGAATGGACTACACACTGCAGCAAATCTATCTACAAATAATGATGTGAGCATATATTAAATTTTTATAGCATGGAAAAGAATAAGAAGATATATCAGCATCTTCACCCATAAAATTCAAAGAAACAAATTATTTTCCTCACACATCAATTAACTCTCACTTTTCTTAAGAAACATACATTTTAAAATGGAATACTGGCTGCTCCCTTGCACGCTGGCAAGATCTCCCCAGAGCTGCTCCCTTGCACGCTGGGCCTGGACTGTGGGCTCAGTCCAGCAGGGGCAGCTCCGGTGCTTTGGGAGCCTGTCTGAGGACAGGCAAGCCCTGTCTCAGCTCAATCACATTCCTGGCCAGCAAGAGAGAGTGAACTTCTAGCAGACTTCCATTGGAGGAGGGGTGAGTTTTCTCCTGGCCAGAGGGCTTCCTCTAGGAGGAATTCAGCCTTTCCCCACCCCCCTCGACAATCTGGTCACCAGGCAGAGGCGACTCCTCCTTGCGGAGCTCTCCCGAATCCCGTCCCAGCCTTTATCCAGGTACACCTTCCTCTCTTCCCCCCTTCCCTCTGGGGCCACAAGATCTCCCCAGAGCAACTCCCTTGCTCGCTGGGCCTGGGTTGTGAGTACAACCCGGTAGTAGAGAGTGCCTGTGTTTCAATAGACTGCCTGAGGAAAGGTAGGCCTTTTGTCAGTGAATTCCCTGCCCTACAAGGGAACCTGACCTGGTACTAGAAGATCCAGTAGAGAGCATTTGAAGGAAGAGATGGGCAGACGCCAAGGCAAGAACTCCTCCAACAATCTAAAAAACAACATGAAAACGCCAGAACCCAATGACCCTACAATAGAAGGACTTGAACCTCTTAATTCAGAAGAAGCAGGAAAAAATGCCATTATGAAAGCAATAGAGTCCCTTAAACAGGATATGAATAACTCCCTTAAAGAACTGGATGAGAAGTATAACAAAAAGATTGAAGAAATGAGTAAAGAAATGGATGAAAAATATAAAAAAAACATCGAAGAAATGAGTAAATCCATGAATGATATATTGGGAAACCAAGAAAAAACAATCAAACAGGTAATGGAAACAGTTCAAGAATTGAAAACTGAAATGGAGGCAATGAAGAAAACACAAAACGAGAACCGGCCGGATATGGAAAATCTAGGTAAACGAACAGAGACTACAGAATCAAGCATAACCAATAGGATACAAGAGATGGAAGAACGAATCTCAGAGTCTGAAGATACCATAGAGAAAATAAATGCTCTAATCAAAGAAAACAGCAAATCCAATAAATTCTCATCACAAAACATTCAAGAAATCTGGGACACAATAAAAAAACCAAATCTAAGAATAATAGGGATTGAAGAAGGAGAAGAACTGCAGATCAAAGGACCAGAAAATATATTCAACAAAATTATAGAAGAAAACTTTCCCAATCTAAAGAATGATATTCCTATGAAGGTTCAAGAAGCATACAGAACACCGAATAGGCTTGATCAAAAAAAAACATCCCCTCGTCATATAATAATCAAAACACAAAACACACAGATTAAAGAAAGAATATTAAGAGCTGCAAAGGAAAAAGGGCAAGTAACTTATAAAGGTAAACCTATCAGACTCACACCGGACTTCTCTATGGAAACCATGAAAGCCAGAAGGTCCTGGATAGAGGTACTGCAGAAACTAAGAGACCATGGATGCAAGCCCAGACTAATATACCCAGCCAAGCTATCATTCACTATCAATGGAGAAAACAAAATATTCCAGGATAAGAACAAATTTAAACAATTCGCAGCCACAAACCCAGCCTTACAGAGAGTAATAGAAGGAAAATTGCAACCAAAGGAGTCCAACATTGCCAGCAATGCTTACAATAACTCAGACATCTAGCGACCCTTCATGAGCTTAACTCAAAGAAGGGACACATACAAACTCTATTAATCAAACAAACAAAAAAATAATAATAACCGGAGTCAACAACCACTGGTCATTAATATCACTTAATATTAATGGACTCAATTCACCTATAAAAAGGCACAGACTAAGAGACTGGATATGAAAACAGGATCCAACATTCTGCTGTTTACAAGAAACACACCTCAACCACAAAGACAGACATTTACTCAGAGTAAAGGGTTGGGAAAAGGTTTTTCAAGCAAACGGACCTAAGAAACAAGCAGGCGTGGCCATTCTTATCTCCAACAAAATTGACTTCAAACTAAAATCAATCAGAAGAGATGGAGATGGACATTTTATACTCATAACAGGAACAATTCATCAGGAGGAAGTCTCAATCCTGAATATCTACGCCCCTAATATAAAGCCTCCTACTTATGTAAAAGAAACACTTCTAGAACTCAAGGCAGTAATCAAACCACACACACTAATAGTAGGAGACTTCAACACTCCTCTCTCACCAATGGACAGGTCAATCAGACATAAACCTAACAGAGAATTAAGAGAATTATTGGAGGTATTGAATCAAATGGACTTAACAGACATCTATAGAACATTCCACCCAAATAGGAAAGAATATACCTTCTTCTCTGCAGCTCATGGAACCTTCTCGAAAATTGACCACATACTGGGTAACAAAGCAAACTTCCACAGATACAAAAAAATATTAGTAACCACCTGTGTCTTGTCAGACCACCATGGATTAAAGTTAGAATTCAAGAACAGTGCTACCCCCAGGAAGCCAACAAATTCATGGAAGTTGAACAGTCAACTACTGAATCACCCCTGGGTCAAGGAAGAAATAAAGAAAGAAATTAAAGTCTTCCTTGAATTTAATGAAAATAAAGACACAACATACTCAAACCTATGGGACACTATGAAAGCAGTGCTAAGAGGAAAGTTCATAGCACTAAGTGCCCAATTAAAGAAAACGGAGAAAGCACACATTGGAGACTTAACAGCACACTTGAAAGCTCTAGAAAAAAAAGAAGCTGATTCACCCAGGAGGAGTAGAAGACTGGAAATAATCAAACTGAGGGCTGAAATCAACAAAATAGAAACACAGAAAACAATCCAAAGAATCAATGAATCAAAAAGCTGGTTCTTGGAGAAAATCAACAAGATCGACAAACCCCTATCCAAATTAATCAAACGGCAGAGAGAGATCATGCAAATTAATAAGATCAGAAATGAAAAGGGGGATATAACCACAGACACAGAGGAAATTCAGAGAATCATTAGATCTTACTACGAAAATTTATATGCCACAAAGCTGGAAAATGTAAAAGAAATGGACATTTTTTTAGATAAGTACCATATACCAAAGTTGAACCAAGAACAGGTGAACAATCTAAATAGACCTGTTAGTCGCAAAGAATTAGAAGCTGTTATCAAAAATCTCCCTACCAAAAAAAGCCCAGGACCAGATGGTTTCAATGCAGAATTCTACCGGAACTTCCAGGAAGAGCTAATACCTATACTCCTTAATGTATTTCACAATATAGAAACAGAAGAATCACTGCCAAACTCTTTTTATGAAGCTACAGTTACCCTGATACCAAAACCACACAAAGACACAACCAGGAAAGAGAATTACAGACCAATATCACTCATGAACATTGACGCAAAAATACTCAATAAAATACTGGCAAACCGAATCCAAGAATACATTAGAAAAATTATCCATTATGATCAAGTGGGCTTCATCCCAGAGATGCAGGGCTGGTTCAACATACGCAAATCTATCAATGTAATCCATCATATAAATAAACTGAAAGAAAAAAACCATATGATCATTTCATTGGATGCTGAAAAAGCATGTGACAAAATTCAACACCCATTTATGATAAAGGTTTTGGAGAGACTGGGGATACAAGGATCATACCTAAATATAATAAAAGCAATATACAGCAAGCCATCAGCTAACATCAAATTGAATGGAGAGAAACTCAAAGCCTTTCCACTAAAATCAGGAACATGACAAGGCTGTCCACTCTCACCATTCCTCTTCAATATAGTGCTTGAAGTTCTAGCAATAGCAATAAGACAACATAAGGGGATCAAGGGGATTCGAATTGGAAAAGATGAAGTTAAACTTTCGTTATTTGCAGACGATATGATAGTGTACATCAGCGACCCCAAAAAGTCTACCAAAGAACTCCTACAGTTGATAAACACCTTTAGTAATGTGGCAGGACACAAGATCAACTCCAAAAAATCGGTAGCCCTCCTATACACAAAGGATAAAGAAGCAGAGAGGGAAATCAGAGAAACATCATCTTTCATGAGAGCCACAAATAGCATAAAATATCTTGGGGTAACTCTAACCAAGGAAGTGAAAGACCTATTTGACAAGAACTTTAAGTCTTTGAAGAAAGACATTGAGGAGGATACCAGAAAATGGAAAGACCTTCCCTGCTCTTGGATAGGGAGAATCAACATAGTAAAAATGGCAATTCTACCAAAAGCAATCTATTGATTCAATGCAATTCCCATCAAAGTCCCATCAAACTTCTTTACAGACCTTGAGAGAACAATAATCAAGTTTTTATGGCAAAACAAAAAACTCAGGATAGCCAAAACAATCTTATACAATAAAGGAACCTCTGGAGGCATTACCATCCCTGACTTCAAACTGTATTACAGAGCAACAGTATTGAAAACAGCTTGGTATTGGCATAACAACAGAGAAGTCGACCTATGGAATCGAATAGAAGACCCGGGTATTAACCCACAAACTTATGAACACCTGATTTTTGACAAGGGAGCTAAAGCTATACAATGGAAGAAAGATAGCATCTTTAACAAATGGTGCTGGCATAACTGGATGTCAACCTGTAGAATGAAAATAGATCCATATCTATCACCATGCACAAAACTCAGGTCCAAATGGATAAAAGACATCAACATTAATCTGACCACTTTGAACCTGATAGAAGAGAAAGTGGGAAGTAGTCTACAAGATATAGGCACAGGAGACCACTTCCTAAGCAGAACCCCAGGAGCGCAGACAATAAGAGAAACAATAAATAAATGGGACCTACTGAAACTGAGAAGCTTCTGTAAAGCAAAGGACACTGTCAGTAAGACAAAAAGGCTACCTTCTGACTGGGAAAAGATCTTCACAAACCCTGCAACAGATAAAGGTCTGATCTCCAAAATATACAAAGAACTCAAGAAACTAGACACTAAAACTCTAATTAACCCAATTAAAAAATGGGGTACTGAACTGAACAGAGAATTCACAACAGATGAACTTTGAAGGGCTAAAAAGCACTAAAGGTCATGCTCAACCTCCTTAGCGATCAGGGAAATGCAAATCAAAACAACTTTGAGATATCATCTTACACCTGTCAGAATAGCCAAACTCAAAAACACCAATGATAGCCTATGCTGGAGAGGATGTGGAATGAGGGGAACACTCATCCATTGTTGGTGGGAATGCAAACTTGTGTAGCCACTGTGGAAATCCGTGTGGCGGTTTCTCAGGAAACTGGGAGTCAACCTCCCTCAGGACCCAGCAATTCCACTCTTGGGAATATACCCTAGAGATTCCCTAACATACTACAAAAGCATTTGTTCTACTATGTTCATAGCAGCACTATTTGTAATAGCCAGAACCTGGAAACAGCCTAGGTGCCCCTCAATAGAAGAATGGTTAAAAAAGGTGTGGAACATATACACATTAGAGTTTTACTCAGCGGTAAAAAAAACAATGACATCTTGAATTTTGCATGCAAATGGATGGAAATAGAAAACGCTTTACTGAGTGAGGTAAGCCAGACCCAAAAAGAGGAACATGGTATGTATTCACTCATAAGTGGATTCTAACCATAATTAAAGGTCTTTGAGCCTATTATTCATGATCCTAGAGAAGTTAAATAAGAAGATGAACCTGATGAAGATTATTTAGCTATCCGCCAGGAGGTAGGAAATAGACAAGAGTCCCAGGTAACCTTGGGTGCATGGGGGGGTGGGAGGGTTGTCAGAAAGGGAGAGGGTTAGAGAGAAGGGAGTAGGGGAGGATTGGGGAAAGATCGGGGGACTGGGATGGGGGGGGAGGGAGGAAGGATGGATATGGGATCAGGCAAGTATATACCTCAACTAAGGGAATCATTTTAGGGTTTACAAGAGACTTGATTATAAAGGGGATCCCTGGTCCAAGGAGAGATCCCCAGATGGTTCTCTGGACAGAGGAGAGGGTGCCTGAACCAGCCTTGGCCCACAACCATACTGATGAATATTTTGCATGTCACCATAGAACCCTCATCTGGAGATGGATGGAGATGGAGGCGGAGAACCACGTTGGAACACTGGACCTAGCTCCCTAGGTCCTAATAAGAGGCAGAAGGAAAGAGAACGTGAGCAAAGAAGGCAAGGGCAGAGGAAACCTTCATCTGACGTTGGATGGCGATGCAGATGGAGACCCATATTGGAACACCGAACTGAGCACTCCACGGTCCAAATGAGGAACAGAAAGATGAAGAAAATAAAAAAAGTAATCAGGACTGCGAGGGATGCAATCACCTACTGATACAAGGGAACTGATATAATGAGAGTTCACCAAGGCCTGTTGGACTGGGACTGAACGAGGTCGTGATCCAACCAGATTCTCTGAATGTGGCTGGCCCGGAGCCTTTTTGAAAAGCCATTGACAATGACACTGGGACTTGCTTCCTCTGCATATACTGGATTTTGGCGCTCCAGTCTGTTTGAACTCTCACCTTTCCTGGACCTGGAGGGAGAGGGGGAGGAACTTGAACTTCCCACAGGGCGGGAAACCCTGACTGCTCTAGGGGATGGAGAGGGAGGAGGAGAGGGAGTGGGGGGGAGTGGGAGGGTGTTGGGAGGAGGGGCTGAAATGGAAACTTTTATAATTTAATAAAATAAATAAATAAATAAAATGGAATACTGTATTGTTATCAGTTTATCAAACAAATTTTTTAAATCTCTGCACATACTCTCCTGAAACAAAGAAAAATAAGCCTTTCAAGCATCACCTGTGCTAACCCTGGTCCAGCAGTGTTCTACAGATAATTACAGATGTAGCAGGAAGTCAGTGGTTCAAAGATGAACGAAACAAACTGCCAACCTTCATCGTCATTTGCCTTATATTACTGAACAGTGATATTTCTCTAAAATACTACTTTGGGAGCCTTTAAATTTCATATGCTGCAATGCAAGTGGTAAAATTGCACTGAAATGATGGAGATCTTAAATATCTACACGAAAGATTTCTAATTAACATACTTCCTATTTCTCTAGAGGGAACCATTTTTCAGGATTGAATTCCGTGCTTTGTATACAAAGCTTAGTGGTTTTATTATAATTCCAATGTGAAGTAACTTTGATTTTCTTAGAAATACATTGGAATTCGTAAATATATCCAATGATAAGGTTTTCTGGATGATGTTTGGGTTTTACAATACATTCCAGGACAGTTTCAAAAGTCTGCCTTGCGACTGGAATGCTTGTACACTCCTGTAATTCCAGCACTTTGGAGGCTGAGACAGGAAGATCTGGAGCTCAAGTCCAGAGAAATCTACCTATTAAGACCCTTTCTTAAAAGCCTTTCAGCTAGAAGTGCTGGTGCAGCCTCTCACCCAGCTTCAGTCCCTGTTTCTGTTAAGAGAGCTAGAACGCATATTGGTCCCTTTGATGGGCCCACAGATTGGAGTGCAAGGCAAAAGATAAGACAGGATCTACAAGGCATTGTTACCTCGTCTTTGTCCCAAAATGACCCTGCATTTTCTTCAAGACGTTGTTTCTCCTACAACCTAAGTTAATTGATTTAACCATAAAGGAAGTATGAAGCAGTTATAGAGTACAGGATATAAAGTGTAATTTAAGTAACAGTGTTACTACAATGGCTGCTTTGTAAAGTTTATATATATATTTTTATTTTTTGAAAATGAGAATTATAGGCAGAGCAGCCTAAAGGATGCCTCACAGAGGTCAGGGAGATGAAAAGTAGTTTACAGAGAAGGAGTTGGTGAACTGTGAAGGTTCAGGGAAGGGAAAATTTATCAGATGAAAATCAAGTTGGCTATAAACAATACAATATATCGTATAATAATTGCACCCCAAGCAAATATCATTTGCAGAGTTCCTGAGATAGGTTGTCTTTCTCCTTACCTCTTTTGTTAAGTTGTACACTAAGCTATGCAGCAGCGGTGTGCAGTCGACTCTTAAGGTGTAGTTTCCTGCAACAGAGAAGATAGAATAATTTGTTTTGTTTGTTATTTTTTTTCAAAGACCACTGCTAAACTTTACATAGAATGATCTCTTCAAACATGCGCTTAATGAAAACTCTAATGCTCTTCACCTTAAACTATAAAATCCAACATCTTTGGCTTTGACACGGTTGAAACTAGGCCTGAGGTTGGGGAGAGAACTAAATTGACAATCAGCTCTCCAAATCTTCACCTCAGACTCTACCCAAGACTTAAAGCCTTAAGGATCTGACAAACGCTGTTACTTCAGAATGGATCAGTGTTCTACATCATATCTGCATGACTTCTTTATCCTTTGGATTAATGTTACATTCTGCGTGACCTCCCTCACTCCTCTATGTGACACTGCATGCTGCCTCCATCCCATACTAGCTGCTGTCGGCATCACTTGCCCTTGGTCTGTTTTTCACATCTTCACCTCCCTCACATATTGCCTAACTGTCTTATTACTTCTTTCTTCCAAATGCATTGTTTAAAAAAAAAAAAAACAGCCTTCACATATGTGTCCGCATCATGAGATTCCTTCTAAGAATGTTATGTACCTTTTACTCTCAAACTAAAGGATTCATGTAACTGAAGGCTGAATGGTACAGACATGCAATCCCAACTATCAGGAAGCTGAAGCAGGATGTTCATGAGCTCTATGCCAGACAAGAAAGACTACAAAGTAAGAACTTTAACTCAAAAAACATAGACTACATATACAAATAGGAAGTGTAATTTTGGATACTCACATACATTTATATAAAGGTGACTTGAAAGGAGATGGTTTGAAGGCATTTATTGCAATTTAAATGCAATATTCCTTGTACCAAAGAATTACACTTGTAGCTCTATATTCACTTCAAACTTCTTTTAGAAAAGTGTGTATACATTAAAGAACCCTTGCTGTAGTATCAGTTACAGAACTAAAATGTAACTGTTCTACTGAATACACTACAAAGGTGGCTGTATAATTTTTTTTTTGTCTTTTTTTTCCTTTGGGATTTACTGTGGTTCTTGCTTTATAAGTCTAGTAAGACAATGTATATTCCACATATGGAAGTTTTATATAATGTTTTCTGAGTGAAAAGTAGGATCTAGAACCATATATGTGTGATATTAAACCAAAGTCCTGTTGGATCTAACAGGAGGTAAAAAAGTGTAATTGTTAGAATGGCTCTGATCTCAACCCTTCTCTAGAAGGTAACTTATGGGAAGTTATTTGACTTCTCTAAATCACAGCTTCCTCTTTGTACAAGAGATAATTTAAGTACTTACAGCATATGATGGTTACACTGCATACAGATTAGAAGGAAAGCGATTAAGACAGCATCTATATCACTTCTGGAACATGTATCAGCTAATTATTCTGAGAGTTCACATAATAAAAACACTCTAAACAGAAGATGGCAGTTCTTTTGGAGAGAACAATAAGAGTTGTTTGTGTATTGCTTTCAACATTCTTTTAATTTAATAAATTTTATTTTTACAAAAGCATTAAAAGATAAAAACATCACTTTGTTGTTTGTTCTATGTATATGATTACATTTTACCATAAATTCATGAACACGTGGTTTATTTCATCTTTTTAGTAATGAACATCTAACCAAAAAAATGCAATAAAGTGAGGAATATGGTATCTCAATCACATTGTACCTATATGTATTTGTTCTTGACCCTAAAAATTATGATCCAGTTCCAAATTTAACATAGTTATCTAAACTCAGTGATATACTAAAATACCAAAGAGGTCTAATGTTTGAAATTATCAATAAGAATAACAGTATTATTTTGCACTATTTGAAATTTGTTATTTGGAGTATTTATTATGTAAGGCATACATGAGCCATATGATCGCATTTACTGTTGTATTTTTGCAATGTTGGGGAATAAATGGGGCATGCTAGGTAACCTCTCTGTCCCTGAGCTACATCTCCAACTCTTCTGATTCTATGATTTAATCAAGGGAAGAGTGATAATCACATTAGTGATTTATGAATAGTCACTGAATGCAAGTCAGATATTGTGGAGTTTGCAAACACTAAATCATTTTAAAAGCATGAGAAGAACCTTTGAGACAGGTATCTTTCTAGAGGTAAAGAATCACAAAGGAAGGAGACAGCATTCTATTGTGAACTGCACTGCCTTTGTCCATTAAATGAGAGGAGGAAGGAGAATTGACTTGCACCAGAAAGGCTAAACTTTGAAACAATAGTGCTCAGAAACTCAGATGAAGAAGAAAATGCAAACGTCAATGTGATGCCATCAAGGCACTATGTTGGCATGAAGAATTACCATTTTTGGCATGGAGAATTTACATTGAGTGTGTGCAAGTGTGCATGCAAGCATGAGTGCATGTGTGTTTGTGTATGTGTGCTAATGTACATGTGAAAATCAAAATACAACTTTATGCAGTCAGTTCTCACTGTCCATCTCTAAATGGGTTTCTAGAATACAACCTAGTTTGTCAGTCTTGCCTAAAAGTGCCTTGCTGGCTTAGCCATCCTATAGTCTCTATACTTAAATACGGCTTTCAAAAACAAAAGATTCTCAGTTTCATGACTTAGGCATTCAATAGGTAATAGTCACCACGTGTAAGGGAATCTGGTAGGGGAGGCAAAGTAAGAAATACTGTTTTCCTGGACCAGCACCGCACTACAGAGTGGGGAAAATATCTCTGAGTTATTTAAGCAGTCAGGTCTGAATCAAGGAAAGAGGTGTGGAAACACCCAGAGGTATCCTAACTCCACGTTAATGGGCTGCCTTCTGTGCCGAGATGCAATTCTTCAACTAAACTGTGAACTCCGGAGTAACCAGGTGTTTTCTATCAAGGCCAACAATATTCACCTTCTATGGAAGAATCGGCATTTATGTAAGCCACACCACGTTCTTGGAGGAGTCTGGAATGTTCCTATAACAAGATATTTTAAAAGAATCATTAAGACTGTAAGAGTAATATAACTTAACTCCTTCCCACCCAAGGCACATCTGCCTTTCTTTGACATAGATGTTTAAATGAAGTTAGACCATGTGTTCCGCCAGTCTGGCATATAAAAGTCTCAAAAAAAAAACTTGGACTGAGAAAATATTGAATTTGTTCCCATTGAGAAAGAAGAGCAATGTCTGTAAAACTCTTCTGAGAGGATGAACTGCCCACATAAAAGAAGATGAAAAGTGAGTTGGAATTTTTAACCATGTAAACATCGATTTAGGAGTCTTTTCAGTATAAACATATTTTTAGAAATACTATCATTATTTAAGCAAAGGTGTTTTCCTAGATTCACAAAGACTCTAGAAAACCAGCTGTTTCCAGTTTACTGGCTGGGAAATTAACAAAGGAACGCTGTCCGTAGAGCCAATTTCTCTTGTAGTATATTGCCACCTACTGGTAATTTTCACTAATTGCACATTTTTAACTAAAGTGTAACAAAGCGCTGCTGAGACATTTTGGGTCTCTAAAACAGCACATTTCTTGAGAATTTTGGTTATAAGAAAAAAATCAGAAAAGTATATGCCAGTACAAGGGGTTGACACAGAAAAATGTGGGCGTTCCAAGGCAGCCTGCACTAAATAAAGAGTCTGCAAACCAAGAAAACAATAGTAACAACAACAATGGTTGTATAGAGACAAACTGCTTCCTGAATATTCATAGGTTTGCCTGACACTGGGATAAAACTTTCTTGTGGAGAAAAACTTCACCTTGGCCAACAGGAATACAGCAGGTTTCCAGAGAAACCTGTAACACCTGTGTTTAACAGGAGTCACGTGAGCACGGGCAGCAAGGGGAAGCTGGCAGAGCAGATACCAGTGCTGCGTAGATTTACTTCTCTGTCACACCAAGTCAGTAATTCCAATGGAGTTACTATTCAGGATTCCTGGTAAGTACTCTGTCTGCCTCACTGTCTGCCTTATTTAACTATTCAGGATTCCTGGTAAGTACTCTGTCTGCCTCACTGTCTGCCTTATTTAATATAGAAGAGACCACAGGGGTAAAAAGGTAAGTGTAAAAAACCGGGGCTTACTGTAGAAACTGAGAGTTCAGTGTAAGTACCACTTGCAGCTGTTTTGGGTGATGTAGAAGAAACACATTAGAAACTTACATGTAGTTTTATTTTGTATTTGGTATCCAGTACATTGACTTGCTAACTGTATTGCATTGTCAAAAAAGTAAATTATTTTCAAGAGTTGACATTAGACGTTTCTCAAAAAAAAAAATCAAATGAATCCAAATATTTAAGATAATTTGTTGAATTTTTTAAAAATCATATTTATTGATTGATTTAGTTTACATGGTTTGTAAGCCTGCATGCCCTGACACATATGTAGTGATCTGAGCACAGATTGCAGCTGTCAGTTCTCACCTCCCACCATCTGGTCCCAAGAACTGGACTCAAATTATCAGCTTGGCAGCATGTGTCTTTCCCAACTGAGTGATCCTGTTGCCCTATTGTAGACATTTGAACAATGCTACAATCCTTTAGAATAATTAGGCATGTCCAACGTGTGCCTATGAGTCACGTGCGGCCAAGTATAGGTATGTATGAAGCCCAACACAATGTTGTCTACATGCTTAAAACCTTATGAGATGGTTTTTATTCAGTTATATTTAAGAAAAACTTGATTGTGTCATTCCTTGGAATGAATTTTGCCTATAGGACTTTATGTCCCAATATCAAAAGGTTGGACACACATGAGAGACATTTAGAAACACTCGAAGCATTACCTGACTGAGATCACTTGTTATTTCTCCAAACTGCAGGAAAAAAAATCTCAACTGCTTTGCCATTTGGAAAAATTCATATGGAAGCAAATTGTCAACCTACCTCTGCCCACTCGGTAGAACCAAGAAGGCCAAATTCTTCCGCATCCCAGCTTGCAAACAGAATCGTTCTTCTAGGCCTCCACCCTAAAATACAGGTGGATCACACATAAACTCTGATAACGTGTATCACACACCCAAGACATGGAAAAGTCTACAAGATAGGAAAACCCAAGATGCTGTTGTCGTTTTTCCCACTTACAAAGTAGTGATGTGGCTTACATCCTTTCTTCCACAATGTCTTTTGGTATATTTTTAAAAAGAGTTTTGTTAAAAATCAAATAGTACACATGTGTTGCAAAAGGAAGGATGTAGCAAATGAAAGCCAAATGAAGTCATGAGATAGTCCCAATCCACTTCTCTATTTCTATTCAGTAAAGTTCAGGCCTCTTATTGATATTTTAAAAATGCAAATCAACTTGACGTAAGACTAAGCACTTTATTTTGTATTAAGGCTGGGCAAGGCAGCTCAGCATAGGGACTACATTCTCAAAAGTTAGTCAAAGAGTTAGAGATTGCCCCAGCTCCCACTGCTAGAAGTCCTGGAAGAAGGCCAAGCTATACAACTGTCACATATATGCAGAGTGTCTAAATAAGTCCTATGTGTGCTCTCTGGTTGTTATTTCAGACAATTTGAGGTACTCTGAACCCAGGTTATTTAACTCTGTGGATTTTCTTATATTGTTGTTGACCCGTCTGGCTCCTGCGATGTATACTATCATGTTATCTGTGAATAATGAGACTCTACCTTCTTCTTATCCAATTTGTATCCCCTTGGTCTCCTTTAGTTGTCTATTGCTGGAACTAGAACTTCAAGTACTGTATTAAATAGACACAGAGAGAATGCATAGCCTGTCTCTTTCCTGATTTTAGTGCAATTGCTTTAAGATTCTCTCTAGTTTGATACTGACTGTTGGCTTGTGTATATTGCTTTTATTATATTTATATATAGCCTTTGGTTCCCTGATTTCTCCAAGACTTTTATCATGAAGGGATGCTGGCTTTTGTCAAAAACTTTTCAGATTCTAATGAGATGATCATGTGGCTTTTTTTTTTTCTTTCAGTTTGATGACATGGTAGATAATGAGGCCCACTAGATGATGGTGGACGATCTTTTTGATGTCTTGAATTTGGTTTGTGAATATTTTATTGAGTGTTTTTACTTCAATGTTCATGAGGGAAACTGGTCTGTAATTTTTTTTCTTTAATGAGTCTTAGTGTGGTTTGGGTATCAGCATGACTGTAGCCACATAAAAAGAATTTAGCAATGTTCTTTCTGTTTCTTTGTTCAGCAGACACTTAGCAAGGCAACCCTTGACAGAGCAATTAGTAATCCTGTAATTTACTTCAGATTGTCAGAATATATATACATAATAAACTAATTAAAAATGATAAAAATATAATAAACCATCATTAATATTTGCACTGCTATTGTTATTAATTTATTGACATTATTGAGTCTATATTAATTTATTTGGTTTTCTATTGCACATTGCAGATTGAGAAGAGAGCTTCTTGTACACAAGACACATGCTCTAACATGGAGCAACTTCACACCCCTAAAATAATATCTTCACACTCACATTTCAAAAGATTACACTGAAATTTCCTGAATTTGGTTTTTTACTCACTGTTTCTCTTACCTTCCTTCTTCAGTGCTCCAAAGCTCCTCACAATTTCATGAACAACAGCTGCTCCACTCTGAGGGTCAATGCCACCGAAGACCCAGGCATCTCGGTGACCTCCAAGAATGACATATCTGTCTATACAACAGCAGCACAAGGGTAACAAACAGAGCAAATTGAAATTAATTCAAAGGCATTCACAATTCAAAATAAAAATACCAAATTTCTAAGGCTTAGACTCTTTGCTCAGATTTCAGTATTGGTCATCTGTCTGATGAAATTATAAATGTGACTTAAAAATAATTCATTATATTATTAAAGTAATAAGCATATGGATAACAGGAAGATATGAAATTATCTCTGTTTACCTCCTCACAATGTTCTAATATCTCTTGCCTCTCTGTGTCCACTCCAGAGAACACAGCCCTCCCCTTCCTAGTTCTAGGCTACGTTCCAATCAGTAAGTGATCTTCTTTCTGTCTACTATAGGAAGTGGAAACTGCTTGTGCTGAAAGTTTGGTAGCAATCATTTCATACTTGATTAGATATTCATCATCCTTAAATGTTGTGCTTTTCTTTTAAATAATAATCTCCTTGTTGCTAGTTTCTGTGTATTTTGACCACCTCCCCCAAATCTAAAGTTTACCATGGTCCTTGCACAAAATGATCATCCAGTAAGATTCAGTAAATCTTGGATGTGTATATCCACATGAATATGTGTTTTAGTACTTACAAGACTTAATTTTATAAAACTCTTGATTCTTAAAAAATAGCCTGTGTTTACTCATAGCATAGAACAGAACATAATGTCGATTTCAGCATTTGGAAGGAGATAACATAAAACTGAGCCTAAATCCAGCCTAATCTCTCTACTCTGAGATCTTGTTACAGAAAAACAAGTAAGCAACATGTTTGTGAAAAATATACTTGACTTAATTATACTATTTATGTTAATAATAACAATAATCAATTAAATCCTAAGTAATGAAAGCCTAAATTTAAAGAATCAAAAGACATAAAATAGGTTGAATTCTCCAACCTAGTCTCAATCACAATGTATACAAATCACACTTAAGGAAGGCCCCATTCCTGGCAGTAAATGGCTAACAAAAACCAAACTTGTTGGTAGTTTTGTGACTTTTTTGTCTCATACTGTTTTGTCTCATACTGTTTTGTCTGTGCATTTTTTAAACTTTTCTGATTGTTTCCTTATATATTACACTTTCTGATTCTGTGGTGTTTTTGGTGTGTGTGTACCTTTGAGTGTCTATCTGCGTTTGTGAATGTACTGCTCATGCTTCTTCTTCGACTTATTTTTTACTCTGTTTATTTTTCTTTATTCCCTTATTTTATTTTGAGTGCTTGTTTTATAAAGGAAGAAAGAAAGAAGGCATGAAGTTGTATGGAGAGAAAGGTGGGGAGAATCTAGTAGGAAATTAGGAAGGGAAAATGTGATTAGAATACATTGTGTAAATTATTTTTTCAACAAATAAATAGTGCAGTTTATTACTCACAGTCATCCTCAGACTTTCCCGTTTCTTTTCTTGCAACACATATGATGATATACTATACCCGTAATGTCTTACTCTGTGTTTAGGTAACTTTTATTAGGGCAGCAACTTGAATTCTTAGTTCATTCTGCACCCAGAGTAGTAGTCGTATATGAGATTTGATTGACCAATATATGCCAAATAAATGCTCCTATTACCTGGTTCAATAGCTCCTTTGAGGGTGCCAATGACATTATAGATCCTTGTCACTTTACTGTAGGAGTGTATGTGGAGCTTGACTTTTCTAATACAAAGACAAAGAACACATTGTTTGAGAACAGTGGTTACAGATTTAACACACTTCTTAACTCTTTCATCATTATGTACAAATATTTCTAATTGTACACAGGAGAAAAGTAACATTTACTAATTTAAATAATATGACATCATTTTCCTATTCAACTTTTTGAACTGGGAGTCCTCTCTGTGAGCTGTGACTACCATTAATGAATAAAGAAACTGCTTTGGACCTATAGCAAGGCAGAACTTAGGTAATCAGGGAAAGTTAGACAGAATGCTGGGAGAAAAGAGGTAGAGTCAGAGAAGCCATGGAGCCACCGCCACCAGAGACAGAAGCATTGAAACTTTGCTGGTAGGCCACGACCTCATAGTGATGCAAAGATTAATGGTGATGGGTTAAATTAAGAAGTAAGAGTTAGCCAATAAGAAGCTAGAGCTAAGGGGTCAAGCAGTGCTTTAAATAAGATGGTTTCTGTGTGATTATTTGGGGCTAAGCGGCCAGGATCAACCAAGAGGCTCTCTCGTCCAACAACTTTTAGTTTGATTTCTTGATGGTACTAACTAGGCTTTACATGTTTTTCATCTTCTAGAAATGTCTTCTTTTAAAGTTGTCTGTATAAAAGGATTATAATAACTTAACTGTGTTGAAAAGTTTCCAGCAAAACCAGGTCCCACGTTGTAAGGCACTTTGAGGCCTCCCTTCCAACTGCTATCAGGGGGTGCTGGGCCACCCATATGTCTGTTAAACATGAAAAAAATTGTTAGTTGGGTAAACGTTAATATAGCAAGTTAAAACACCTAGTAATCCATTGTCTAGAGTATCTTCTCATAAGAGTTTCCATGAATGAACGACAGAGCAAAGTGTTTTGCATGTAAACCCACTGACCCTTTCTGCCACTCCTGTAAGGCCATGTTCACTATCCATTCTACTTTGCATATGAGAAACTTGAAGACAAAGTAAATTCACAGCAATGGCCAAAGTTATGGTGGTAAGATATATAGTTGATATTATTCTAATTATTTCAAGAACCCCCCCAAAAGTATAACTAACTGTGCAAAGATAAACCATGTATTTCTTTGATTTTTTTGTTTGATTCTTGTTTGATTTCTTTTTTATAGGTTTTCTTTTCTTTTTATCTATCTATCTATCTATCTATCTATCTATCTATCTATCTATCTATCTATCTACTTATCAATCTATTACATGTAGTGTTCTGCCTGTATGCCTGCCTGTAGGCCAGAAGAGGGCATCAGATCTAATTACAGATGTTTGTGAGCCACCATGCTGTTGCTGGGAATTGAACTCAGAACCTCTGGAAGATCAGTCAGTGCTCTTAACCTCTGAGCCATCTCTTGCTTTCTTTTTTTAATTGCCCGGTCTTTTTCCTAGAAAATGAGAAAAAGGCATAGAATTTGATGGATGGGCTTGGAGTTGGAGATGATCTGGGAGAAGAATTATGGAGGGAAACCATGATAACAATATACTGCAAGAAAAAAATTCAATAGGAAAGAAATATAACTCAGAGAGATAGTTCATTGGTTAAGAGAACTTGTTCTTCTTGCAGAGAGCCACATAACGACTTACAAACATCTGTAATTGTAGTTCTAAGGGATTGAATTCCCTCATCTGACCTCTGTGAACACCAGGCAAGCAGATGGTGCACATACATAATGCAAGAAAAAACATTGTACACATAAAATTTAAAAACATTACAAATAAAATAAAATTATCTCTGGACATAATTTGATAGCTATATCAAGGAACTAACAGCAGTTGTGACTACATGCAGTAGACCTACACAAGATCTAGTGAAAGGAAATTGCAGTGTAAAGTTGGGAGAAGAGTGCCCTATTAGCTCAGGAATTACTGTAGTCAATTGGTAAGAAATGTTGAGTCTGTATTCTTTAGGAATGTGACCCCAGAAAGTCTATGTGTGCTCATACAATCTATGCACATACAGAGAGCCCTAATAAGGGCTCTGGGGATTCAAAGAAAATAAAATAAGAAAAAAAGACCTGAAGTTTCCAGGGGAAGTGGTGGTGAAATAGAGGATATGAAGGGAAAGGAATGGGAGGGTTGATTTCACCAAAAAACAGTATATGGGTGCATGGAATTTTCAGTCAATAAAAATATCATTAAGATCATCTCTTCCTAGAAAATATTAAAAAGTGTAAACTGTTTATAAGTTCAATGAAAGAGTAAATCTGCTATCTGGTTTTTTTTCCTTTCTCATTAATTCGTTTGGCCAATTAATAGAATTTCAGGAAATGTACTATAAAATGTATTTAATGTATTTTCATTAAAAAGCATTAAATGCACTTGGGAGATGCCTTGGTAACTATTTTCTGGATAAGCATAAGAATGTGCATTTTGGACTTGCTAATATGCTATAAAAGCTGAGTGACATGTTAGTATCCCAAGAAATGTGGGATAGGAAGACAAGGGAATCCTAGGGCATGGTGGCCAGCCTGTCTTGTCAAATATTTGAGTTTGAGGTTCAGTGACAGAGTTTACCTCAAAACAAAAAGACTGGGGTTCCATAGAAGTAGACACATGACACTAATGTCTGGGCTCCATAAGTTCTGTGCAAGAAAGCATACACACACACACACACACACACACACACACACACAGATTAAATAAATAATTAAATAATTAAACAGAAAGCATGCGGTATAAAAAGATACATATACATTGCTAGAAAGTATAATCTACAGTTAAAACGACAGAATATTCAAGATACAAAATGCTATTGGATGTAAGTTAAATTATACCCGTATTTTATTTTGAATAGACTATTTTGAAAAGTATATATTAATTAATAGAGATTTTGGATAGAAATGTGTAAAGAGAAACCTCATTATAAATAACATGCACATATAAGTCTATATACATAAATACAGACAAGAAGAACATATGTGCATTATAAATAACATGCACATATAAGTCTATATACATAAATACAGACAAGAAGAACATTAACTGTACTACTCAGTGTCTCAGCCCATACCCTCAAGAACGCATACACTAGTAATTAGAACAGAACAACAATAGACAGAACAGAACAGTTGTATAAGAGTCTAACAAGGATCAAAGAAACACAGGAATGGAGAATAGATGTTTTAATTCACAAATGTTACTGACAAATGTCTTTACTACTCCCTCTTTCAGGCAACAAAACCCTCAAGTAGAATAAAAACTTAAATATTAAAAACAATATTAATTTATTTTGAAAATATTTTAGGATTTGACATATGTTAGATGCTTTAGGAATACATAAAAATTGTCTTAATTTTTAAAAATCTCTATGATATAGTTCATTCATTTTGGTCTCATCATTTGCCAAACTTTTATTGTTTACTGTGATAAATGTGCTCTGTTCTACTTAACAAGGCAAATACATATAAAATAGTATCTTTCCTTCAAGAGGTTAAGTCATTCAGAAGAAACACATACAGTCATTGTTAACAGAAAATTAAACCCTGTCAACATTATACTAGACAAACGTTTACTGCTATCGACCTTGGGCAAACGAGGTGTTAACATAGCCAGGGGGATGAGGAACACATTTCTGAATGAGGTTTTCACATTGTTTATTTAAATGACTTTTAAATAAACAATGTGAAAAGATGAAAGTAAATGGTAAAGTGTGAAGAGGAATCCTGGTAAGGAGTATAGAGCAAGAATAAGGGATGATAGATGTGGGGGCTGCAGTCCCTAACTCCCTATCTCCCCTGTCACCCAGATCTACTCCTCCATTTTCCTTCAGAAAAGAGAAGACTTCCCAGGACTTTCATCCAAACGTGGTATGTCAAGTTACAGTAACACTAGGCACATGCCATCGTATCAGGGCTGGACAAGGCAACACAGGAGAAGGGTAAGGGTCTCAAAAGCAGACAAAAGAGTCAGAGACAGTGCATGCACCCACTGTTAGGAGTTTGTTATCAAAGTAAATCTGTTGTATTTATGTGACTCAAAACTGTACACTAGAGAAATGAAGATTATGTTGGTAAGAAATTCATACACAATTACCCACAATTTCTTCTTTCGTAACAACAAGAACAAGGAACAAGCCCAGTTGCCCTTTAACTAGTGAATGGTTAGACAAACTGCAGTATCATCATGTGATGTAAAACTTAAGTCGTACAAAAAAAAAGGAACCTCATGCACAACACAGCCTACTTAAGAAGTTAGATGCAACTTGAGATAAATCAAAGTTGCAATTTTTCCATCAAATAATTACCTTACCTCAGTTAGGACACAGTTAATATTTATCTTTTTATCCAGTCTAAAGAATAGGCAGACATGACTAAATAAATCATATCTAATTCTATGTATTCTGTTTCTTACTGCAAGGAAAATATGAGGTCATTTCAATGGGTTCTATAACTGGAATCATACAATATATTGTTTTGAAAAGCTGCTTTTTAGCTTAATGTATTACAAATATATTCTGTGTTATTAAATATTCTTGACCAATATCATTCTGTATTTTATTGCTTTGTGTAGTATCAGAACCAATGACATGCTTGAAGAGGCAGAACTGTTTTATTATTTGAATTGTTTCACTATCACAAGTAATCTTATAATAATACTTATCTTTAATATAAATAATTACACTTTATTTATCTAAATGCATATTCCATGGTGCTTGTAAATGGTCTATCACATACTTAGTCTTAACCCAAGTGGCACAGCTAATAGCCCAAACCTAAAAGTAATCTGTCCTTAGATTGTACACATACTAGATAAAAGAATCTTCACTTATGAAATTGGTGGCCTTAAACTAACTCATGAAATTCTTTCTCATTGATATGACAATGAAATCATTAAAAATGCTTTGCAGTCAGGCATGATGAAGCTACCTTGCAGTTACGGTGCATGGGAGGCTGAGCCAGAATTACTGACAAGATGCTTTGATTCTATCAACTTTACTTTCATAGAAATTCCTTTCCATTTCTTCCAGAGGGAAGAGTACCATGAAGTACAAGCAGAAGTTAAGAGAGGAAGACAGGAAAGAGGGAAGCTCAAGCATGAAGGCAGAAAAGGAACAGAAATATAGACAAAAAACTGGACATTAGTGGCTCTTAGGTTGTTATTCTGTTCCTCAAAAGGGTGGAGGCTTAAAAATAACATTGAAAAGATTGGTAAGAGATACATTGAGAAAAGGCTGGGAGAGAGTTGAGTAGGAAGTTAGAGAAGTTTGGGAAAGTATCCACAGGCTCGATGTTATTTTGAAACAGGGTAAAAGGCAAAGAGAACGTGAAATAAATTCCAGAATCTGAACCAGAATTCTTTAAAATTGTGGAAACATTTGAGATTGCACCTGTCACTGAGTATAGAGTACCAAAACTTGAAGACTAAGATAAAACATTTGAAAATTCTCAAGAATGAGAAATACAAAAACAGTTATCTTTTTTCTGTCAAACTTACTCTAAGAGTTTCTGTGCATCATCGTATCCAATAGGATGGACAGGAATACTTGGAAGTCCAACAGCCTCTGTCAAATCATACCTATAAGCATATTCTGAGAAAATAAAGCGCTTATTTGTCACTACAACAAATGGTAAGGCACATGAAGTGATAAATGTTATCTGTAGAGATTGCATGCCCTCTCCCTAAAAGTCAATCATTTTATTTTATTTTTTATTGATTTTATTGAGCTATACATTTTTCTCTGCTTCCCTCCCTTCCTCTCCCCTCTCCTTCTACCCTCTTCCATAGTCCCCATGCTCCCAATTTACTCAGGAGAGCTTGTATTTTTCTACTTCCTATGTAGATTAGATCCATGTATGTCTCTCTCAGGGTCCTCATTGTGTTCTGGGCTCTCTGGGATTGTGAATTGTAAGCTGGTTTTTCTTTGCTTTATAACTAAAAGCCACTTATGAGTAAGTACTTATGAAATTTGTCTTTCTGGCTCTGGGTTATCTCACTAAATATGACATTTTCTAGCTCCACCCACTTGCCTTCAAATCACAAGATGTCAATAATTTTTTTTCTGCTGTGTAATACTCCATTGTGTAAATGTACCACATTTTCATTATTCATTCTTCAGTTGAGGGACATTAAGGTTGTTTCCAGGTTCTGACTATGACAAACAATGCTGCTACAAACATAGTTGAGCACATGATCTTGTGGAACGATTGAGCATTCTTTGCGAATATACTCAAGTGTGCTATTGCGGGAAGTGTGGTATTGAGGAAGGTTGTTTCCTAATTTTCTGAGAAATCGCCATACTGATATCCAAAGGGGCTGTACCAATTTGCACTCCCACCAGCAATGTAGGAGTATACACTTTACCCCACATTCTCTCCAGCATAAGTTGTCATCAGTGTTTTTGATCTTGGCCATTCTTACAGAGTTGTTTTGAGTTGCATTTCCCTGATGGCTAAAGATGCTAAGCATTCCCTTATAGGTGTTTTTCAGTCTTTATAGATTCCTCTGTTGAGAGTTCTCTGTTTAGGTCTATACTCCATTTTCTATTGGATTTTTTTGTTCTTTTGTTGACCAATTTCTTGAATTCCTTGTATATTTTGGAGATCAGACCACTGTCTGATGTGGGTTTGGTGAAGATCTTTTCCCATTCTCTAGGCTGCTGTTTTGTCTTGTTGACCATATTCTTTGCTTTATAGAAGCTTTCCAGTTTCAGGAGGTCCCATCGTGAACAGAAGTTCCAGCTAATTTAAATTGTATTTTCACCATAATAAATTAGCAGAAGGAACATGAGTTGGAAGAGGTTTATGTTTTTTAATGTGGAAATGGAAAGGCAAGAGTAAATAAAAGTTATGCAGGGCAGATTCATGGATTTTCTTTTCATTTATATGATGAATATTCTGTGTAAAATTTGAGGGTTTTTCTTCCTTATATTACTTGAAATTTTTATACATATACACAGTGTATCTTGATCATATACATCCCTGCTCTCTCCATCTCCCCACGAACCCTCCACACACATTGCTCTACCTATTTTATGTATTTTTATAAAAATCCACTAAGCCTAATTAATACTGCTCATATCTAGATTTGGGTTTGGGGTCATATACTGGAGCATGATAAACCTAACAATGACTATGCACCATCAACATGACTCTATTTATGGTAGAGTAATATAAGGTGGTTTTAAAGAATGAAAACAGCTATGGCAGTTTCCTGTATTTTAAAGAAGGTTTTCATACCCTCCGGACACATTAGTTTTAGAGAAATACAAGATTCAATGAAGCAGAGGTCAAAAATAAATATGTAAATGTCATGGGTACTTTGACAAACTCCTTTATAGTAGTTAAGAGAACTCACTTTGATCCAAACTATGCAAACTAAATGAACACAGAGCTGTGGACAACATCTGATAGTTGAATGCATCGAAAACAATTTATCTGTTTAATTAATGTTTGACCAGGCTACATGTCAGCAAAAGACAAGAATGTGGACTCTGAAGCCACCCTGGGACTTTGAACTCCAGTAGCCTATTTAGTGCTGTGATGGTCATGGGCAGACAGCTTGCATCTTGCACATTTTCTTTCAAGCCAGAGATCATAATACTCTGGTTCCTAGAAGATTGCTGAGGCATGCAGAAGCTATCATTTAGGAAACACTACTTAGTGTGATTACTAATCTTTGCAAAGCAGTGAAAGTTGCTATATCCTTAGTGCACTGTCTGGGCTCTGTATCTTTATTCTTAGTGTACTATCAAACTACTTTATAAGACATTTTGCTCTTCTGCTCACTACTAGAAAAGTAAAACCTGTACTTATGAGAATTATAGGTTTTAAGTAAATTTCCATGACAAGAAAAGCCAACCTGGCCAAAACACATGATCAGAAAAAGACAAAATAGAACAGACATGAGTTTACTTATTTTCCTTTTAACACATGTTCATTGCTGATAATCACACAATTTGCTGCAGAGTTATTTTAAATGCATTTTTGTTGCATTGTGTCTTTATCCTCATGTGTCATGCATTATATTATAGATAAACCATATTACATTTTAGTATCTTAAAAAGTCTGAATTCCAAACCTACCAGGTCCAAGCTTTAAAATATGGCATAAGGAACATTGATTTTCAGAATTTGAAACATTCTTATTTCTATAATTCAAAAAGAATTAGAAAAAATAACCCTTAGTCATTTTGTCATAAAATCTTTTGCAGAAATCACTTGGAATGGTCAGTTTCTTATTATGGTTTGTGTCTGATCACTCACCATTGGCTGGGTAACCCGGTGTGAGGGGGTCACCTGCTCCATTAAGATTTAAGACATTCCCACGCTGGACACCACCTCCAGGGAGGTTCCAGCCATCTGGATAGGACTTCACCCCAGGAACAACATAGTCAGCAGGGTCTGAGTAGAGAATGACTCCTTTCGCACCTGCCAGCTGAGCATTTTTAACCTAGAAGACACGGTGTTTCTCTTCTCAGTTTATGTTGAGTTGCTCCAGATTTAGTAATGGCAGATGACAAGATTACATTAAATGAATAGCTAAACTTTATCTTCTGTTTTAAAGATCAGGTCTCACTGTGTTTTCAAGGCTGAATTTGAATCTACACTATAACCCACAAAGGTATTGAATTTGTAATCCTCCTGCCTTGGCCTCTCAAAGGGTTACATACAACTATATAATCCTAGGCTTAGATCTTAATTCACAATCTGAAAGGTGATGGGTTTGCAGAGTGGCAGACCTGAAATATACCCATCACAGTGGAAGCAAGGATTTGTTCTTCCATTTGGCTTTCTAGAAGCATAGTAACCAAGTAGAATCCCAAAGCCAAATTATTAAATCCATATCAGAAATGTGAGTTTTGGACTTTTCTCATTACCCATAATAATGATTCACATTAAATTAATTTCAGTAGGTCTTTGGATATAATAATTAAAATAAAGTTACTAAAAATTAGTAGCTTTTTCATGCTTCTTTTTTAAGTCACAGAACCTTGCCGGAACAGAAAAACCTGGTGCATTCACTTTAGCCAATAAGTTCAGAATTGCAAAAACACAAATCAAAAACACTTTCTATATGTTAGAGTGTCTTCCTTATAAGGCAAGAATTTATAAAGGCAAGAGAATCATAATCTCAGAAATTTCAAGGAGATGGTTCTACACGTGTAAATATCTACAACATTTTAGATGAGGGAAGCAGGTGACCTTTAAAAATGTCCTCAGCACATATGCATGATACAGAGCAGCTGATTTATTAGAGCAAATTCACACGTGGGCATCACATGCGCTGCATTCCTCCTCCTCTTATCCTTTTCTTTCTCCCATCACCCTTCCTGGTTCTCTCCTTCTTACTTACAAATCAATAACCTCCCTTCTATTTTCATCTGTAATTTTGATCTTCCTTTTCCGAATCTAGATCCCACTTATGAGAAAAAAATGCAGTATTTGTCTTATTTATTTTAATATGAGGATCTTCAGTTCCTCTGCTTTCCTGTACATATATCATTTCCTTACCTTATTTCCTCTGAACACTTTCCCATATCTGGCGATGACAATCTTTCCAGAACAATTAATCTTCATGTCCCGTTCTAGCTTAAAGAAGTCTTCAGTACGTGCATAGTTAACATACACTAGATCCCCCTGTTGAGATCAAGAACAATTAGCTAGAAGATGTAGCATATGGAGGCATCTACAAATGAGGGACGTGTGATACCAAAAGAGATGCAGATAAAGCAAGACCCTCCAAGGGCCCTGAGACAGATGAGTCTCAAATGAGACAACAGAGAAGTTAACTTAAATTGAAAACATAATTAGACAAGTTAAGAGAAAAGTATGGATTAAATGACAAATTTTCTTTTACCTAATCCATTACTAAATAACTATAAAATGTGGAAATACCCACATAACTGCATCGGTATTCAAGTTGCTGAAAGATTAAAAAGTTCAGTCTCCATAGGTTGACAAACCCTTGGTGAAAGAAGGCTTTCTATCCTTTAGACTGCACAATCAAGTAGGAGCATAATAGGACTTCACAAACATCAGAGACAGAAAAAATGTCATTCAACAGAAGGTTTAGTATTTGTATGATCACTTGCAAGCATACTGCCATTCCTAAGTCTCAACACTGTCATTCGTGAAGTCATTTTCTGAAATGTTTTCCCTCTCTAATCTAGTATCTAAACAAACTCTGAAAAGAAATGTATACATTATTCATTTTACACAGGCATCTAAAACAGGTTTATCATACCTTTATGATACCAAGTGTCTGCAAGGAATATCAATTCCAACATATTATGAATGGCAACATCTCAGAAGCAATGACACAACTATTAATTCATATCTGAAGGATTTAATACTTGTACATTTATACCACTTAACTTCTTTCATTTAAAAAAAATAAATGAACAAAGACTGAGAATGTAGCATCATGGAATAATATTTACTCAGAATTACAAGGCTCAATGAACAATACCACAAAATATTAATTATGTACAAAACCTCAAATCTACTTATGACTGTATTTTCTGTACTTTTACAATTGTTTTCAATCCTCTTTTCCTTAAGCATTAACTTAGAAACCTTTGTGATCGGCTGGCAGAAAGATACACTGCCTAGGTTGTTCTTCAGTGAATGATCTGCTGTAAGTTCAAGGAAGGCTTTTCAAAAGGATGTAAGAGCAAAGGATGGAGATAAGAACTGTGAAATGCTGTCTCCTAGACACAATGGCTATTGCATTTAGGATCTCAGAGCCCCAGTGATTACCAGAAGATCAAATCAACCAAAATTCCTGCATAGATAGGTGAGGACCCATTCCTTACTTAGAAAATTGGCAATTGTTAACTACTAGAAGAGGGAGATTCATCCTTTCATGAAAGGAGTGACCACTGGTAGGTTTCCCTATACTTCAGTAGATGGCCTCACAATCATACATACATGGGCAGGACTAACTAGAGTTATCATCCAAGAGCAAAGAGGTAAAGAAAGAGAGGAGAAAGAGCAGACAGAGACTGAGATGAGACAGAGAAAGAGAGAGGAGGAGGGAGAGAGGGAGAGAGATTAAATTGATCTGCTCACATTTCTTGATTTTACTAGTAAGTTCTCACTTGGGAGAAACTCACAGTTTTGGGGAGATCCCCCCGCCTTCCATATTGCAAAATGACAGCTATCTTTTGACCAACTGCCAATCATCATAAGAGAAACTATTCTAGAGAACAGACTGGGGAAGGAATTGACTTAAAAATTTGCAAACAAGTCTGTCACCTCAGATTGAGGCAGGACCAAGGCCCTATCCCCTGTGTATAAAGGATGGGGGATGGGTAGAAGATGGGGGAGCAGCAGGAGGGGAGGGAGGGGGAACTGGGATAGGTATAAAAATAAATAAGTTTAAAAATCTTTGCAAACAAAAGTAACCAATAGATACACTCTCTAGGCAAGTTGTACTCTCAGTTGAAAAACCATTTTGCCTTAAACAATGGCTTTCTTGTGTGGCTCACACTGTGCTGTTGTTCTGATTGCAAAATAATCTCGTCCTTGGCTTGGAATTTTTACCGATTCCTTCAGGCTTCTTTTTGTTTGCCCTTATCAATACGAGAATTTGGGTCAAAAAGCAGTGGTTCTCAAAGAAACACCCATGAGCTCTTTGGTACATCCTTAGACCTGCTGAAACTCATGGGCTAAAATCCAGAATCTGGGCTTTTCAAAATCTCCACTTATGACAAATATTAAAACCTGAGAAATACTACAGTATGTTTATAGACCTGTAATTGTTAATTAAAATAGCCTAATGTATGAGCCAGTGTTATAAGTTCCACAGGATTCAGAGTATATAGATTCAAGTATTGATGATGGAGAAATGTACTACATACATGTAAGAAACCTATATAATTAGTAGAGAATTAATACTCTTGTGATTGGGTTACAGATCACCCAGCAAATCACTATAGTCAGCACATGGCCTTCTATTTTAATGCAAATAGTAATAGCACAGAGAATAAAACCTTCTATATTACAGAATAATTTAATGTTTGAAGGAAATAAAAATAATGAATGTCATGATTTCCTTTACGAGAAGAGAAAAAACTATGTAGTGCAGACTAGTCTCAAACTCACAGCAATATCCCTGCCTCGTTCTTCAGAGTTCTGGGGTACTTTCTTATGAATAGAATCATTACATAGTTAAAGCATTAGTGGATTTCAATGAGTTACTTAGTAAAACTACAAACTAGCTGGGTATGGTTACAATTTTCTCTTCATAATATTTGGAAGTATAGTCTGTTTTGACACAAAAATCTTTTAACAACAATACATTTCACAGTGCTCTCCAACTGACACACACTAAACTAATACTCTAAGATTTTTTAGTAATTTTAAGTAATTTATGTTTTTTAAGTAATTTTAAACTACATTTCATTTCTTTTTTTTTTTTTTGATTTTTTCGAGACAGGGTTTCTCTGTTGTTTTTGGTGCCTGTCCTGGAACTAGCTCGTGTAGACCAGGCTGGCCTCGAACTCACAAGGATTCGCCTGCCTCTGCCTCCCGAGTGCTGGGATTAAAGGCGTGCGCCACCACCACCCGGCTTACATTTCATTTCTACAAGTACTATTATCTCATGGTATTTGTCCATATATTTGACTCTGATATGGCAAATTCATCATATATTTGAAATGAAATTCTATTAGTCGGTGTCTTGTATGCTATATATCTTGTATGTCATATACATCTCTTTATAGAGAAATATTATAAATAATGAAGACAACTATTTAAATGTTCAAAGTAAAAAAAATGAAGAAATAATTGAAAAAAATCAAAATTTGAATTTTTTTGTAAAAAGCAAAATACAGACAAAAAGACCCAATAATTGGAAACTTAGAAGATACTAGTGACATCTAAAATTGTTGGGGTTGTATGTTACACTTAAAAGACTGAAGAAATTGATAAAACTTAATAGGAAAAATGTCAGAAATTACCCAGAAAAAAAAGGGGCTATAGTTAGTCATTTGCAAAGTGAAAGCCCAGATTGGGTGATGAATATGTAAGAATGACCTCACTGGTAATGGAGAGAAACTTCAATTTAAACCAATTAAAATAAACAAAATTATAGTTATATAATTTTGAACGTTTATGAAAATTTGAGGGAAGAGGGACATGCACACATTAAAAATAGGCATATAAACTGCTGTAGGCTAGATCTTGGAAGATTCCCTATTTGCTACAATGTAGCAATCTCTTCTTTGTTTACTGTACACAAAGAAACACTCAAAGACAGTACGACATTGCTGCAAAAAAATGTGGAGTAAGTAACAAGTTATGTGTTTGACACTAAAATAATGGGTAGTTACTTGCTGAGAGCCCATGAGGACCCATGAGGACTAACCAATGCAACTAACCATTGTAATGAACATTGTAAGTGACTACCCCAGTTACCATGACAACAGATCATCATGTTGAACACTATGACTGTCAGTGACGACTACAACCGAACATAATAGTAACACTATAGTTTGCCGTTACAGCTGTTCACAGTAAGCACTGTAGAAGATTGTCACACAGCTGATTGTTAATCATCACAGCTGACTGACCATTAGTATTGAGCATCTCAGTGTTCACTATGCCTGACCACCAGTGACCCCCAAAGTAACCACCAGAACTGACCATCACAGATGGCCAGAATATTAACCACTATGGCTTTCCATCACATTGGACACTACAACTGCTGACCACTGAGACCACCCTGGTGATTGATATGACTGACCATCATAACAAACACTACAACTTAACATACCAATGACCACCAGAGTGACCAGTATGAATTATCATCACAATGGTAATTATGAAGTACCATCTCAGTGAGCACTACAACTGGCCACCATAGTAACCACTATGACTGACTAGAAAACGGTGAAACTGACCACTACAGTGATCACTATAGTGACCACTACGGTGTCCATGACAGTGAACACTACTGCTGACCATCTCAGTGACCACTGTCTTAGTCTAAAATGTTCTACTGCTGTGAAGAGATACTGCTACCAAGGCAACTTTTGAAAGAAAGCACTTAATCTTTGCTTACAGTCCCAGATGTTTTGTCCATTATCATGGGCAGGGAGCATGGTAGCAGACAGGAAGACATGGTACTGGAGAAGTAGTTGAGATTTCTACATTTCCTTCTCTTAGCAGCAGGAAGAGAGAGACACTGGTTCTTGTTTGGGCTTTTAAAAACCACAAAGCCCACCCCCATTGTCACACTTTCTCCAACTAGGCCGTAACTTCTAATCCTTCTCAAATAGTGCCACTCCTTGATGACTCAGAATTCACACACGTGAGCCTATGGAAGCCGTTCTTATTTAAACCACCACGACTACCAGGACCGACCATCAGAGTGACCACTACACATCATCTCCACAGTAACCATAACAACGGACCAACACAATTGTATACAACAGTGAAAATCTCAACTGGCTACTATAGCCAATAATTCCAACTAACCACCTCAGTGACCACTGTGGCTATCATCACAGTGACCACCATAGCTGACCACTACAGCCAACCATAATACTGACTACAGCTGATCACCACCACTGCCCTTTACAATGAACACTATAACTGACCACCACAGTGACCATGACAACTGACAAGAGTTACCATTCTATATGACCTCTAAGCTGTCTCCATAGTGACTGTGATGGCTACCAGAGTAATGACCGCTGTGGCTCACCACCACAGAGACCATAATGATTCGCCATTCCATTGAACCATCAAATTGACGACTACAACTGACATCAATAGAGACTACTACAGCTGACCACTATATACAATATTGTCAACTTCAGCTGACTAATTCAGCTGACCTTAAGGACAGACCACAATAGTGACCACTATGCTTACCATGACAGTGACCACTATAGCTGACTATTGCAAATGATCTCCATAGTGTTTACCATGGCTTTCCACCACAGTGACCAAGACAACTAACATCCATAGTGGCTGCTACAATCGACCAATACAGCGGTCAACCACAGATGACCATAATGAACACTGCAATTCACTGCCCAAGGAAATTATCTGAACTAATGGCAACACTATGTACGTCAATAGGATGTTGATTACACAGAAGTGTGTATTTGTCAAAATTCAAAAATATGTAAGTCTGCACATCTAATTGCAGCAAATTTTATTCTTAAAAGCATCATGAACAACAACAAAAGAATTCTATACTTCTCTCTTACTAAGATAGCCTAGTTTGTTAAGTGTGGAAAACGGATAAATTTGAATTATCTGAAAATCCCTCTTATTGCAGTTTAATTATTGCCTGAATGTATGAGAAAATGGGACTCCTGATCATCATTTGTATTGTAGTGTGCTACATTGTTACCTCTGGTGTCCCTTGTGGAGAGAAGGCACTGAAAGGAGGCACAACATCTGAGATGTTCTCATACCCTGGAGGTGACTGTTCAGACAACGATGTGTTGAAAATCTAGAGAAACAAACAAGTAAATGAAAAGCAAATCAGTTAAAGTTTATCACAAGCAAACAAGCCAGAAAATGGATTCATCTTTCCTGCCAGTAATCACACTGGTTATACACAGGTGCACCACAGTAGGCTAGAAG